ATAATAACGATCAGGCTCTTGAAATAATGCGCTATTTGATTCGACCAATCATGAATTTTCACATGATTTTAAAATCACATGATACGATCCGGATCGAATCACATGTCACATGATACTACCCCGCTTTAGTGGACCCCCAAAATGGGGAGGTCGCTGTGTGAGTTCAAAAAATTTTTTTTAATAATCATATGCTCAGTCCTCAATCACTACTCACTGCGCATCAACAGCAAAAACCTTGTTTATTTTCGAAAATATCTGAGTACGCTATAGCAGGAAAGTATATATGTACAGTACTTTTTGTTTGAATATATCTGGCATCCGCAATATCCTACGATGCGTTGGAACTGTTCCACTTATTGTGGACCTCTTTCGATCGATGCTTGGAAAGGGGTTACTAGGCCCCTGTTAAGATTGGCTTAACAGCTAAGCTTGATAGCCCTTTTTCAGTATATTGGACTTAATGGGTATCCTACGACGCGTTGGACTTATCCCGTTTATGTGGACCTCCTTCGGTCGATGTTTGGAAAGCGAGTGCTAGGCCCGTGTTAGGATTGGCCTAACATCTAAGTTTGGCAACCTCTTTCCAGAAATCCATTGGTCAATGCCAAACCCAACCATATGTTTACGATTAAATTTTTTTTGAAACGATTATTAACTTTTGATACTAATAATATTGGTTAGCATGCACATTTCAAGCGGGATTACCCAATACTTAAGAGAAACAACCTTTACAAAGTGGACTGTCCATAAATGTCTTGAATTTTTGGCAGAAAATTGCGCGGGGGTGACGTCTGAACATCGTGAAGAAATTATGGCTGAATTAAAACATCAGCTCCATTTAATAAGTACTCATAACTCAATGAACAAAAAAGCCCAAGAGAAAGCTACAAAGCTTTTTAATAATGTAGAAAGATATTTTCAATTCAAAGAAGTTACAGCATTTTTTGACCAAATGGACAAAAAGGTAAAAAATATTTGTTAGTATGTATTATTTGGTTTATATATAAAAAAAACTAACCAGTTACAGGCAAATGAAAATTTATTTGACACGAAAACCAATCTATATGGATCAGAGGTCGCGGTGCAAATGATTGACGCGAAGTTGAGCTCTTTTCAATCAGAAATATCTTCTGTGAGCAATGTGGTCACGACATCAGCTACCGAACATGACTCTGAAAAAAAGGAACATGAAAGTTTTGTCAATGTTGAAGAAACAGCAGATGAAGCCGAGGTTTGTTGATGTCATTATGTCCACAAATCATATTTTGCTTTACTTATATATGTTTATCTCTTCTCAAGTATGCTCTCACGAATCCTGATAACAATCAAATTGTTTCCGAAACTATACAAACGTCAAGTAGTGCACAAGCTTACGACCAAGAAGCAGACGACGAAGAAATTGACAAAATTATTGTAAATAAGGTAATACAATGAGGACAGTTTGCTTATTGAAACATTATCTTTTGAACAATATTTGAAATTTTCATTACTATTGCAGATATCTGACTTACTTCTTTCGAACTTAAATCTTGAGGAAATATGGATAAAAGTAATGGAACGATTGAAAAAGGAAAACTTGCGAGTGCAGTATGTTATTGTGATTGTGATCATATACTTTTTCACAAATGATATATGTTCTCTGCTTAACCACTAAAAAATTTCAGGTCCATTGAATCCCGAATAGTGGATCTTTCAAATTGGACGAAAGTCGACTGGAATAGGATTCTCAAAACATCAGATTATGTTCAATTGTTTAACGAATCAAGGAAGAAACTCTATAAGGATAAAATTGATAAAGAAGTACAAAATTTGCTACGCGATGGATGTGGTCGGATGGTAAGCTATTTTTTGTTTATAGTTACCTGCTTCTCACAACATATTCATAGATTATTATGGTATTTTTATAGAAGTCGTTAAATGATCTAATATTATGGAAAGATAAATTCACAACTTTAGAATCTGAGGATGCACGATTAACTGTTGGAATTATCGAATTTTTGTTAGTATATGGTTAAATATTTGAATGGATCAAAATGAAAGATCATTAGATTTCTTTTTGCAGATACTAATTAGAATTCTATTTAGCCATCTCTGTTTACGAAGAGAGGTTAATATTCTTGTCATGCAACATCGAGAACGTGATTATATTGTCAAGATCCTTAGTCCAATTATTGGATTCATATTTGAAGAATTTGATATAGGTACTTTTGAACTTAACTGGTAACTGATGGATTTTTTACGTTGCAATAACTCTTCTATAATATCCACTTTTAAATGGTATAACTGATTTTTTTCTAGGATCGAGAAAGACTCTCGTAGTGTTACTTGTCGAAAACGAAAATTTGTACATGAAGAATATGTAAACTTAGATCCACCAACAAAAAAGATGGATTTGGTTATATCATTGCGAAGTTACAAAGTTGAGCTACTAGTACTTGAAGCGGGAAACACTGAAGGCCCTATGGATGATACAAAATTTCGAGAGGATCATTCAAAGATCAAAGTGGTTATGAAAGATTGTTTGGACGCATTTTGGAGTAAATTACATTTTAGAAAAGATGAACTTGAAGAAGTCTTCGCAATGGGCATTCAAATAACGGGTATGCAAAAATACATCATATTTATTCAGTGTGGTTTAAGTTTTCACCACCTAAATTTTTCTTAGATTGTATAGGCACAAAATGGACTATCTACTCTCTTACTTATAATAGTTCAAAAAACTTTTATTTTTTTGTTGAGATGGCAACATTGACATTACCAACAACATTATCTGATATGGAAGACCTTTTACCAAGTTTTTTGGAGAATCTTCTGGCATTACGGGTATGTATAATTATATACGATATATTTTTCCTGTCAAATCATCGGTGTTAAAGTATCTTTATATTTCTTATATAGCATACACAAATAGATCTGGTTGCAAAGATTCGAAAATTTACTCAAAAAAAAAATTCCACACCGTCGCCACCCTCATCACCATTGCACGAAACAACAGAGACCCCTTCAAAAAAACAAAAACTAAAGCAAGATCCTTTTTATATCTTAGACAACTTATATTAAAATGCAAATAGTTTCAATTATTAACACCCAGATGTAATATTGCATATAATAAATAAAATGAATAAATTCGAAGTTGTTTAACAGCTCATTGTCATATATAACTTTACTAAAATTAACGTTCGCATCCACTTATATTTATAATCGCAAATTTTAATCTTGTGATTTAGCTTCATAATGTGGATGGCTAATCATATGGTTTTTATATTAAACTCAATATACACATATATTGTCTACACAAATAAAAACACACAAAAATAAATTATATTGTAAATGCATTTAAAGTTTCGAGTTTACTTAATAAGATCCAATTCTCGAAGATGCTCTGGAATAACTACATATGGGTCTTCGTAATACCAAATATACCTTAAAACAATCCAATTTTCTTCGCACAATTCTTTCTTGAGTTGATCCTGTACTTGCTGTTTAATGAAATTATTTGATTCTTCTCTATGAAAGAATTCTATATAATGATCATGTTGCTCACCTTGCACTTCAATTGCAAATTTGTATTCTGGATAATAAATATCAAGTTAAAGATCTCGGGAATGTTCAAAAGTTTTAAGAAAATCAGGTTGACGTATATTGGATGAGGGGCCAAGATATTTAGAAATGATTTCACAACATAATTTTTCATGTTTAAAATATTGACAGTATGAACATCATGTATTATGATTTTTTATACTACTAAGGGATGTATATCATATATGTGATTTATTACATTGTCATAATAATGGAATTATGTTGTTAGTGTATTAGTTAGAGAGACATTTTTCTTTTTTATTATATGCAATTTGTTTAGCATATTTAATAGTAAGATGATTATTAATACAATATGAACACCATTTATTATAATTTTTTATATTGCTAAAAGATGCATACCAGGTATGAAATTTATTATATTGTCATAATAATAGTGATTTATTATTAATATATTTTTCTGAAAGATATTGCTCACTATGAGATTCAGCAATAGCACATGCATCATTTAAAGATAATTTTTTCATTATGATAAATTCATTTTAATAAAGATTATTTTTCCAATATGAAATCATAACTAATAAAAACCAATTCTATATTCAGTATAAATAGAATATAAAGTATCTACTGGATACAGATAGCTTCTTAATAGAAGTGACGAGTAGGATGTATTTATATTGCTATATTAATAAATAACAAAAAAATAATTATTATCTCATTACTGTAAATTACATTACTTATTAGAAAGATCGAGGAGTTGATCCCAGCTCTTGCAAATATAAAAAATGTTCTTCTTTATCTTAGTCCAGTCAATTACAATAAATTCCTGACCCTATAAATTTTTATCAAGTGTATCAATAATATTACACCAAATTTTTTGTATATCGTCAGACAATATTAATTAGCTCATTATATATTCCTGTTCCATTAAAGAGTACAATATAATCTGAATTTTTTCTTATTTACCTGAACAATCAAAGAATAATTGTATAACATATATGGAACTAATATTGACATAATATTCTTCAGTGAAGTAAGAGGTAATTTCATCTTGTATTTTTTAGGCTTATTGCATATATCTTCAAATATAGTAACTGTTCCTCTTTCAGGAAAGAATTCTTCTATCTTTGGTATTTTATTAGGTTTCATTGCTCGAAATGTAACGTCTTCATAATATAACTTTGAGCTATTTGCAATTATTCGATAACAATCACGTAAGTATCTATATTTTGACTCTTTGATATAATACCTGATCAAAACTAAATCATTATTTTTAATATAATGTGTTCTATCTTTTTTCTCATTTAAACATTCAATTTATCTTGTTTTCAAGTAAAAGATTAATAACTTCATTGATTTTTCCTGATCTAATTCATCTTGAGATTATTATAGTAAATGATCATTGGAGTGTTGAATTAAGACCATTAAATCTTTCTATATTTTCGTATTCATTAATGTTTAAAATCATTTTCTTAATTGAATCAAGTTTTTCTATTGCAGAACAGATCATTATTGCAGAGCAATGACTCTTTGGATCTAGATGATAAATCAGAGATTCGAGACTCTATCTTTTCTTTAAATCATGAGTTTTTTACTCTATTTTCATCTTATTCAAGCTAAGTAACTTTTATTATATTGTTACCATTTTGAGCTTTTGTGTATGAAAGTATTTCAAAATGACAATAGTGACTGTGTTCATGACAATTTATTTTGAATATTATGACTAAATGGTATTTATGATGATAAATGATGTTTCTTGACAAGATAAAAGATAACGAAAATAAGATTAAACTAATAACAAAACTAAACTAAAAGGTAAACTTAACCAAAAAAATTACTTATAATTCCAAAATAAAATTAATTTAACATGTCAAACTTGACATTTAACCAAAAGAAACTCAAAATCAAAACTTAAGAACTTAAAATATAAACTAGAGAACTTAAATCAAACTGAAAGAACTTGATTTTTATTAATTATCAGCACTTGTATTTATACATATTTTTGTGTTATAGTGACACAGTGTGGTATAGTAATGCGCAGTATGACATAGCATGACACAGTTACAGCGCAGCATGTGACACAATAGATCTATACTAATACTATGAAATTATTGGTTCTCTTCTAAATTACACGAAATTTAACTATATCATAATTAATAATCTTGTTCTACATCTAAATACCAATAGCAAAAATAAAAAAAATAAGGGCTAAACTAATTTAGATAATAATGAAATTTGTCAAGAAAATGATGTGATTAATATATCCAAATAAAGATAACAATAAGATAAATATAGAAAGATAGATAATATGAGAAAGAAAAAGAAAATAGAAAGAAATAGAATATTATCAAACCAATTACATAGTCTAAATATCATTATGACTAATTTTGATCATTACTGTATCTTTTGTTCATGTGTTCTTTATGTAAAATTATAGTCAATATTGAATCAGTAACAATATCAAAAATATATATTCTATGTTTTTATTCTGATAAATTATCTGTATCTGACTCATTATTTATATCTGCTAGATTATAACCAGAAATAATAATATTAGGATTTCTACTTATTAAAATTTTAATGATAACATCAGAGAGATAATAATAATCTTTAATATTAAGACTTCACAAACTATGACACAAATATGTTATTATATAAATAAATATATCAGTAATATCACAAGATTTGAGTTAAAGATCTTCAAGCTTAGGGCAAAGTCATGCTATCTCACAAATAGACTCATCAATTATAAGGTAACAACAAACAAGATTGAGATATTTAAGATTCAGATTTGATTGTGTGATTTTTTTAACCGATATATCAGTAATCTCTTCAAAATTCTCTAAGGTATATAATTGCATATTCGAATAAGCTGAAGAAATTGCACATATACCCTCATCTGTTATTTTTTGGCATCTTACTTAACTTAAAATAAGAAGTTTTGGACATGATTTGATAATCTGTTTTAATAACGCATTAGTAATATTACCTGTCTATAAATCAAGATATTCTAAGTGTGAGCAATTTTGTGCAATCTTAATTATAGATATATCAGTAATATGCTTATTATATTCTAATTTCAAACAATACAAATTAATACATGATTGAGTAACTGTTCTCAATGATATATCAGTTATCTTAGAAGATCCAAGTTTTAGACGTTGTAGATTTGGACATGAATTCACGATTTTACATAAAGCTGTATTCTTCATATTAGTAATATTACTAGATTGTTTTATACCTTTACTATTATATAAAATATTGAGAGATTCCAGGAAGCAAATTTGTGCAATCTTACTAATAACTTTATCTAATAAATTACAGCACTATTTGATCTTTAGATGGTATAAATTAGAACAGGATTTAGCAATCTCATACAACACATTATTAGAGATCTTACAATTAGAAAGATGAAGTCGAAGTAAAAATGAAGCATGTGATTTATATTTTTCACACATTACTTTTTTAAATTTTCTCCACTGTGTACATGTATTGTTAAGATCACCAAAAAATTTAGCCTTTTTTCATAATATTAGAGTGGAGTATAAATATTACAACTGGTTAACGAATAAGATCAGATATAATATTTTATCTTTAGCAAGATATGAGAAAATTTTAATTAAAATTTCAGGAAGATATAGAGGATGTAATTTAATGTATGACATAAATACTTATATTTGTGAATTTATTTTTTATGCAATAAATAACTTTTCTTTTGCAATTTGCATTTTATATATGGGAATAAATTAACACCATACAATATTTTAATAAGATCTATATCTCGCTCTTTACATATTTCCCACTTTTTTTGGTCACACTTTCTTTAATTATCTAAATTATCTTGATTTTTGTGATATAAACTATTGCAATGATAATGTTGAACATCCTGGAATTCAAATGCTAATTTTAACTCTTCATTATATCTGTTTAATTGCATCTCATTCAAAAATAATGATTTATAAGATGGAAATTTCCTATCTAATAGGTTCTCAAAAATATATTGAGCAGATCTCTTACTTTTAAAATGTGGACAAACTGGATATTACTCAAATTTATGCTTCATATAAGGCATTTCCCACTGATGCTTTCCATTTTCACAGGACCAGAGATATATATCAAAACTATTTATTTGGCTAGTTTTTTAATACAATGTTCATCTCATCTTTTAGTATAAGTCTAAGTATTAGTCATTTATTAACAACACGAATAAAATTAATAGACCTGGAATGAGTATTTTCTTTCAATATACTTTGGAGTGGATACTGAAATGTATCTATATTCACATGCATTAATTTTTCATGTACAAATTCACATGTTGATGCAAATTTTCCATTTAAATAATATAAAATTGGTTCATTTTTCATTACTATAATTTTGTGAATTTTATGGATAGAAGATGAAAATACTAGATTTGTAGTCCTTGCTTGATTCTTCATACCTCTTTCTCATTTTGCATTAGCAAGTAGATAATGAACACTATCCTCCTTTTTTAACTTATTTTTCTCATTTTTTCTAATAGAATG